TTTCGTGTTGTTGTTCACACTGTATTCTTCTTGTTAGCGCTTTCAATTTTGTAAAAGCACGGCACAGATGGGATCTGTTAATAAAATCTTTTAAGTGGCATGGTATAAACAGTGTTAAGACGAAAAAAACATTCACCCATTTTCTTCTTCTTCACCAGTCAAGAGTTTTCAGAAGACGTACGTGCTGATTTTCTCCATTTCCTCATCAATTGAATCTCTTGTGAACGACAATTGAAATTGCAAAATGTTTTCTTGCCTCTACAATAAACCAATCCAACCCCAGTCTTTGCCATAAAATCTTCCAGCGAAGGCGCATTCACACTAAATAAACAGGTTATTAGTACTGTGATTGGAGCATACCTGTATATGTAAATATCTTTACCCTCCAATTCGGTGCGGTAAGTGTAGCAGAGCTCAAGAAATCAACAGAAGGATATGGAGTGGTTGAGCTCTTCACCCCTTCAGCTTCCTTCACGTCACCCTTGCAAATGTTGTTCATCAACTAATAGAGTGACCTTCCAAAAGAAACGTTGTTCACTTCACACTTGTTGCTTTCGGCTTAGATAAGTCGTTTTCGAATAATAATGGTGCAGATTCACTGGTGTTTTTCAATGAACAAACATCAATGTGATTCTTCTTCTTATTGTTTCTCTTGTCTCTTTCTCTTTTCACCCATGTTTTCATTTCTCCACATTGCTTAAGATTGGTCCATCGTCATCCAAAAGCATTAAATAATTTCAAAAATAGATTATAAATAAAATAAAACATTATTGTTTTTGTGAGACTTTTTTCATCAATATTTTGTCATAAACTTTGGCTCTTCACAAAAGGTTGATTTTGATTATTCTTTAATGGGGCTTTCTGTACGTTAAAGCAGAATGCTCAGTGTCTCTCTTTTCGTTTCGTTTTTTTATGATTTGGTCTTTTGAGGCAAGTAGTGTTGAAGGGCAAGTTGGCTAGGATTCTTGCGTGACAGCTGAGCTAACTGAAGTTTGTTATACGTCAGAGTCAGTGTAATTAGTTAGAATCAGTTAGATTAATAAGATTAGTTACTTTCTAAATAAACAGAAAAGTGATGCATGTATTTGTATATAAACTGTACAGAATCACGTGAATAAGATAAGAAAGTCTTTTCTTCTTCTCTTCAAAGTTTACTCAGCATCTTCTTCTCTCAAATCTCAACATGGTATCAGAGCTTCGATAAGGGGCCAGAATACTTGATTTCTTCAAATCCTCGAATCATCTCCATTTATCATTCCATTTCAATTCACTTTCTTCTCAACTGAATCAGGAATCAGTCTTGATTCATTTGATTCACATTTCTGAAGATTACAGTTTTTTTCTGATTCATTAACCTAAGTGAATCACGATCTTTGATTCTTGTCTTTCTTTCGTTCAAAACGAAACTCATGGCAACTGAAGGAGATAGCTCAACCGAAGTTCAGAACATGCGTTCATCAGATGCCATTGACTTCAATCATCCTCTGTTCTTGCATCCTTCTGATACACCAGGTTCAATCCTTGTATCTTTTCAATTAACTGGTGTGGATAATTACTCTCTTTGGAGTAGGTCAATGAGAATAGCCTTGTTAGCAAAAAATAAACTAGGACTTATAGATGGATCATGCACCAGAACTTCAGTTTCCGCAAGCATGCATCAGCAGTGGGATAGGTGTAATGCCATTGTATTGTCTTGGATCATGAATTCTGTAACTAAAGAACTGTTAAGTGGTATTGTGTATGCGTCTAATGCTTACTTAGTTTGGAAGGATTTACAAGAACGATTTGATAAAATCAATGGGTCAAGAATTTTTCAATTACACAGAGACATTGTCAGCCTTACACAAGGCAGTTTATCAATATCAGCATATTTCACTCGATTGAAGTTACTATGGGATGAGTACTCCTCAATCATCCAACTGCCTTCATGCGACTGTGCCATGTCCAAATCATATGTTGATCACATGCAAAATCAGAAATTACTTCAGTTTCTGATGGGATTGAATGAGACATATATTCAAGCCAGAGGACAAATTTTGATGATGACTCCTTTACCAACAATTAATCAGGCTTATTCTATGTTAATCACTGAAGAAAGTCAGAGGAATATCAACACATTTTCACCAACTGATACACCTTTAGAAACGACTGTATTGTTCTCATCTTCACATCAATCAACTAAGTAAAAAAAAAACTGGAATCTGGTCTGTGAGCACTGTAATGTCAAAGGCCACAAGAAGGAGAATTGTTATCGGTTGATTGGATATCCCCCTGACTTTAAGTTCACTAAGAAGAAAGGACAATATCAACCATCATCCGCTGCTCACAATGTCACTTCCTCTGATCAGACAGATACTCACACTAATACAACTTCCTCAGCATCAGATTCATCTAAGTCATCAGCACTTTTCACGAAAGAGCAATATGCTGAGATCTTGAAGCTACTGCACAGAGACACTCCACATTCTCCTTTGAATGATATCAATGCTAACATGGCAGGTATACAATGCTACCTTTCTTCTCTTAGCAATAAGCAATCCTGGATTCTGGATACTGGTGCTAGCCATCACATGTCACACTGTATTGAGCAGTTAGGTGACTTGGCTTCTCCTGCTATATCTCCATCAGTAAGACTCCCAAATGGTCATGTATCAGAAGTTTCTCACATAGGCTCTTGCTTCCTCAGTCCAACTCAAAAACTCACCAATGTTCTTTATGTTCCTGACTTCAAGTTTAACTTGATCTCCATTGCCAAGCTCACTAAGGACTTATCTTGCTCTGTGTCTTTTTTTCCTGATTTTTGTGTTATTCAGGACCTCTCAAATGGGCAGGTGAAGGGGATTGGTAGACAAACTGAGGGCCTCTACTTTCTACTGCCACCGTTACCATCAGCACAGCCACCATCAGAGTTAGTTCATTCAAGATTACCTGATACTGCTGTTTCACATGCTGTTATTCCAAGTTTTCCAGTTTCAAATAATACCAAGCAATGTATGAATAGTTCTTATGAGTTGTGGCACAAACGATTGGGACATGTACCCATTGCTAAACTCAAATATTATTCTGTAATCAAACATGCTTTTGTTAAGGATGACCATGCATTTGATTGCCATATCTGTCCTCTTGCCAAGCAAACCCGAATGCCATTCACAGCAAGTCAAAATAGAGCTTCTGCACCCTTTACTTTAATTCACATGGATGTATGGGGACCATATTCTCAGCCTGCACATAATGGTCACAGATTTTTTTTAACATTAGTTGATGACTTCACCAGAGTTACTTGGATTTTCTTAATGCAGCATAAGCATGAAACAGTCATACATCTCAAGACCTTTATTGCTCTTGTACATACTCAATTTTCTGCTTCTCTGAAGATTGTCAGATCAGACAATGGGAGTGAATTCTTTAACTCACAATGTGCTGAGTTATTTACTTCTTTGGGGATCATTCACCAAAGTTCTTGTGTAGCCACTCCTCAACAGAATGGTGTCGTAGAGAGGAAGCATAGACACCTTCTTGAAGTAGCAAGGGCATTACGGATTCAAGCACACATTCCCATCCCTTACTGGAGTGAATGTATCCTCACTGCCTGTTACATCATAAATAGACTGCCCACTGCAGTTCTTTCTAACAAAAGTCCATACGAACTGCTCCATTCCAGAACCCCTTCTGTTAAGTATTTCAAAGTGTTTGGTTGTTTGTGTTATGCTGCTAACTTCACCTCTAAAGATAAGCTAGGTGTCAGAAGTGTTCCCTCTGTTTTTCTGGGTTATTCATCCACTCAAAAGGGCTACAGGCTTCTATCTCTTGTCACTAAGAAATTGTTTGTTAGTAGAGACGTGCGATTCATGGAACATATCTTTCCCTTCCAATCTGCCATCCCATCTCCCTCAGTATTTCCATCTTCAGATCCTACTGCTACTTTGGATTTTGGTTCACATTTCCAACCTCAGACTCATACACTGCCTCCTGAGTCTCCTGATCCTCTTCCACAACATCAGTTTCCAACAACTGCTCCTGACATTCATGCTTCTTCTCATACTTCCCCGAATGTTCCTCAAGACATTATTCCAGCTCCTCGAAGATCCTCTCGCAGCACCAGGCCTCCATTATGGCTTACAGATTATGTTTCTCCTCATGCTCATTTTGCTATTCAGAAGTATATTTGCTATAATCATCTTGCTGACCCTTATCACTGCTTCCTTTCTTCTATGTCTAAACATATTGAACCTTCTTCTTATGAAGAGGCTGTCAAATATCCTCACTGGATTGATGCTATGCAAGCTGAAATCAGTGCCTTGGAAGCTAACCATACTTGGGCACTCGTCTCTCTTCCTCCTGGCAAGGCCACCATTGGCTGCAAATGGGTTTATAAGGTGAAGTATAGGTCTGATGGCACTCTTGAGCGTTTCAAAGCCAGACTTGTAGCCAAGGGCTACAACCAGCAAGAAGGCATAGATTTTACAAAGACCTTTTCTCCAGTTGCAAAAATGGTGACAGTGCGCACTATCTTGGCCTTAGCTTCTGTTTATCAGTGGCCATTATATAAAATGGATGTTTTTAATGCTTTTCTTCAAGGTGATTTGTATGAAGAAGTGTATATGGAGCTGCCTAAAGGATTTCGCAATCAGGGGGAGCATCGAGCATGTAGATTGCTCAAAAGCCTTTATGGCTTGAAACAAGCCAGCAGACAATGGAACCTAAAGCTAACTGAAGCTTTAATTACAAATGGTTACATCCAAAGCAAACATGATTACTCTATGTTTACAAGAAAACATGGCAGCAAGATTGTCATTCTACTGGTTTAAGTAGATGATATCTTAATCACCGGAAATTGTGAAGAGATGATCAAACAGTTGAAAGAAATTCTGCAGAGAAGTTTCAAAATAAAAGACTTAGGAGAGTTAAGATACTTTCTCGGCATTGAAGTAGCTAGATCCAAAGAAGGCATAGTGTTAAACCAGTGAAAATATGCCTTGGAGTTGATCTATGAAGCTGGAATGGGAGATGCTAAACCAATCAAAACTCCTTTTGAGCAAAATCAGAAGGTTACTTCGTTTGAATATGATCAGAGATATCCACCAACAGATGAAGATAAACTGCTGAAAGATCCTTCTGTGTTCAAGAGATTAATAGGCAGATTGCTTTATCTAACTATGACTAGACCGGATATTAGTTTCTCAGTACAAACTCTCAGTCAACATATGCATAATCCAAAGCAGTCACATTTGGAAGCTGCACTGAGAATTGTTAAATATATAAAAAAGAGTCCAGGACTTGGACTACTGATGTCGTCAAATAGCAGCATGGAGTTAATAGCCTACTGTGATTCTGACTGGGCTGCGTGTCCAGTGAGTAGAAAATCTGTTAGTGGCTATTGTGTAAAGCTAGGTGAATCTCTCATATCATGGAAAACAAAGAAACAAAGTACTGTGTCAAGGTCATAGGCAGAAGCAGAATATAGAAGCATGGCAAGCACAACTGCAGAGATTGTTTGGCTTTTGGGACTGCTGAAAGAATTAAACCTGGACAGTATGAAACCTGTAAAACTTTTCTGTGATAATAAAGCTGCTCTGCAAATTGCAGCCAATCCAATGTTTCATGAGAGAACGAAACACATTGAGATTGACTGCCACTTTGTAAGAGAAAGAATCCAAGATAAAACCTTAAGCACAGAGTATGTATGCAGTAGAGAACAAATAGCAGATATCTTGACCAAAGGACTGGGAAGACAGCAGCATGAGAAATTGGTTGCAAAACTTGGAATGAAAGATATCTACAAGATACCAACTTGAGGGGGAGTGTTGAAGGGCAAGTTGGCCAGGATTGTTACGTGACAGCTGAGCTAACTGAAGTTTTGTTATACGTCAGAGTCATTGTAATTAGTTAGATCAGTTAGATTAATAAGATTAGTTACTTTCTAAATAGCAGAAAGTGATGCATGTATTTGTATATAACTGTACAGAATCACGTGAATAAGATATGAAAGTCTTTTCTTCTTCTCTTCAAAGTTTACTCAGCATCTTCTTCTCTCAAATCCAACATTAACAAGCTCTTCGAAAGGAGTTTGAAGTTTTTCACATTACGCGGGAGATTTGTCAATAGTATTTTGCTCGTACGCTCCCCATAGGTAACAAGATGAGAATACATGGTGAGACAATAAGGGATGTTGTAGTCATTGAAAAAAATTGAGATCTATGACTCCCAAATTTGATTATGTTGTGTGTTCTATTGAGAAGTCTAATAATCTAGACACTTTGTCTATTGGTGAGTTACAAAACAACCTTCTTGTGCATGAGCAACGCATGAATGGCCATGTTATAGAGGAACAAGCTTTGAAAATCACTTTTGAAGATCAGTCTAGCGGGAGGATTCAAGGTCAATAAGGTTTTAGAGGAAGAGGAAGAAGTAGACAAAACTTTGACAAGTCCACCATGGAGTGTTACAATTGCCATAAGCTAGGACATTTTCAATATGAATGTCCTAGCAAGGAGAAGAAGACTAACTATACAGGGATTGAAGATAAGATGTTGTTGATGTCTTAAGTGGATGTCCAAGTGGATGTCCATAAAGCTTGGAGAGAAGATGTGTGGTTTTTCAATTCAGGAGTAACCACATGTTTGGCAACAAGGCTTTGTTCTTAGACTTTGGCGAAAACTTCAGGGCCTCTATAAAGTTTAGAAACAATTCAAGCTAGAATGTGATAGGAAAAGGAAATGTGAGAATAGAAGTGCATGGAATTTCTTAGATTATCATTGAAGTGTTTTATGTACCTAAACTGAAGAATAATTTACTAAGTGTTAGGCAATTACAAGAGAAATGACTCCAACTGCTGATGAAACATGGAAAGTGCAAAGTCATCCTAAGAGTGGCTTGATTATGGAGGTTGAATGACTTCAAATAGGATGTTCCTTTTGTTGGCTACATCCCGGCCAAAAGTATCTACCTACTTCATGTTAGTGTATGCCCTAGGAACCAATCGTGTTGTCAGTTTAAAGACATTATATCTTGTAAATGTATTATGAATAAAAGAAAGTGTTCTTATTTCACATGTTGATTTACTGCTTCATTTATATTATAACTAATATTGCATGTGAAATGTTCGGATGACACGAATCTTCAGCAAATCAGATCATCGAAGAATTCCCTATGCAAGTAATGTTAATTGGACAATAACATTGCATAGTAGGCATGCTAAATGTCTCTATTGAATATCATGTAATGGTATTAGTGTGGGATATCATGTGATGGTATTAGTGTGGGTGATTATAAGAGGTATGTCACTAAGACATTAGTATGGATAAACGGTTAGTGAACTATTTATTGAAAACGATTGATTATGATGAATAACATGGACATGGTCAATGATGCATCGTAGGATCGTGCTAGTGTACCACTGATCCTTAGACATGAGACATCACTATTGAATTCAACATAGGATGCATATGGTTCATATGGTGTATAAGCCCGAGACTAGTCATGTCTTGTGTAATAAGCCGGTTTGGTCATATGTTATTCATGTGTGACGACAAGTGATGGTCAAGATGGGATTAATTAACTCTAAATAGTTCAATCTCGAGTTCCTAGACGAACGTCAATAAACATTAGAAAAATGAAATATCTGCCCAGAGTATAATGAATGTCAGATGTAAAGTAGTTTCATGTCGACGCGTTCTATTGTATCGATTGACAATTCGATTAAATATTAAGTTAAGGGTTTTGACATACCATAAATCATTCTTAATCGGGATTAGATAATGAATGGATTTTACTACATGGTACGTAAAATTAGAATAGTTCATTGGAGTTTACACTTCATTGTGGTTTAGGGGTTATGGAACATTGCTAGACGTCTATCATAATCAGTGAGAGTTTCGATGATAAAGAGTTATAATGAAACATATCAGAATCTGATATTGGGCCCACAGCTAGATTACAGTGAACCAAAATAGTCACACATAAAACCAAGCTCAAAAAGAGAGAGTAATACATATCATTGATCGGATTAATGATGTTCGGACGTAAACAGTTGCATCCAAAATAGTGTATCGGTGAGAAATGATTATCCATGGATAGCTAGCACTAACCAAGGGTAATAAGGATTTATTAAATATTATTATTAAATTGGATTCAATAATGGGGACAAAAGTGCATTGGGTTTATTCTAAAGAGTGGAATAATTAATAGAATTAAAATTAGGCTTATTATGAATTAACCATAAAACTAAGGACTTGACATAAATGCTCTTTCCCAAGATTAATTTTAAAATTGTTTGATGACCTACCAAGACAATTTAAAATTACACTTTGTGCCCATGGTATATAAACCAAGTGTTATACCATTTTCATTCAATTTGCAACAATTGAAAACAAAAGGCACTTTCTCACTCTCTCGGTTCTCTCTCATCTTTGGCTTGGATGGATTACATTTTGAGTTTCTTCATTCTTTTTTGAAGAATCTAGACTACAAGTTTCAACATCAAGCATTTAATAGCAAAGGAGTAGGTAATATACTATTCTTTTTCATTAAAAATTAACATTGATGTTATGTTTGTTTACTACCTTGCATCCATCATCTTGTTCATACATTTTACACCATTTCCATGTCAAAAATGCATGAAACCAAACAATGGTATCAAAGCAAGTTTAAATTCATGCATGCATGTAGCATTTTTGGTGAAAAATGGCTTGGTTTGGACATGAATATGTTTTGGCTTTAGATGCATGTTGAAGTTATTGTGTATTTTGAATACAAATGATGATGGATATGTGATATTCATGCTTATTAACATGCTTTTATGAATTTTTGATATTTAGAATACAAAATTTCTTGTTCTTGAAGTCATCTGTAACATGCATGTATGATTTATGGCATCTTGATGTATTTTTGTTAAAATATGAATATATCTCATTCATATGATACATGCATGTGTAATGTGAGCATGTTTGATACAAATTTGATGACTGTGAAAAGGATGAATTTGGCCAAACATTATTTGGATGCATAATGTACTTTGAATGCATGTTTGAGAAGTTATATGTGATATAATTGAGTATAAATGCATTTGGGTTGGATTGTATTGTGAATGCAAATGTTTGCATGTTGATTAAGGTTAGTGTTTAAGCTTGTTCCACGCATAAATTGTATATGTGAAAGAGGCATATTTTAATGGTGATTAATATGTGTTTTCTTATGAATTTTCCTTGAAAAATCATGTGAGAACTGACTACATGATTGATGCAAATTGGTATCACATTCGGCCATATCATAGATTGAATGGTGCTTGAATTGTTCATGTTTTGATAATGATCAAATGGTGTATGGATTAAGGTGATATGCATGTTTGATTAATTCTGTGCTCATCACATATTTTCTTTTTAAACGGTGATTCAAGTAAAAATTGGTGCATCATGATGCATAGGTTTGCATTTTTTAATTTTATTTGATTGAATGTGATGTGAGATGTTTTTTAATGTGATAGCTAATATAATATTTTTTATAAATATTATAGTGATGAAATTATGCATGTACCCGTAGTTTAATCATGACATATTTTACACATTTATTGCATAAAATCAATACATATTTCTTTATATCCATATGATGGATAATATAATGATATTATATTTTTAAGGTTAGTAAAATTATGCATGTACCCTTTGTTCAATCATGACATGTTTTTATGTATTTATTATATGAAGTCCTTAATTTATAAATATTGCAACTTGCATAAATATTTATTTATATACCCTTGATTGAATTAATATTTATTAATGTAATAAATGAATAATAATTGGGGGATGATCATGGGTTTATATTTATTTTTCCCAAAAATATTTGATATTTGGGCATGTAATATTCTTTCAATGGCTTGTAATAATAATTAAATTTATTATTAGCTTGTTATCCAGGCCTGCGTGTCCTAAATTGGTTTATATAATCGTACGACCGCACGGAGGATAGAGATCTGAACAATCACTGGATGAAGATCCACAAGGAGTGATAGAATTAGGTGAATAGTTTACCTAATTAGGATGTATTTTCAAAAACCCCCATGATCATCCCACCATGTTTTATATTTATATGGATGCATTTGAATTAATGTATGTGATAAATGTAAAACATTTTTTAATTAAAGGTTAAACCTAATAATCTCCCTAACAAACAATATTAGATCCAAGCATTCCATTATGGGCCAATTAATTCTTTGACATAAAATTAGAGATCCCAAGAATTCTATTCTGTGAGTGATGCTAATTTTATGACATAGAATTAATTGTCTTAGTTCTTGGATAGAAATTTTCATAATACCCAAGATTTTTATTATGTGAGGGTATAATGAGAATTCTATTTTAAGAAAGCATAATGGGTTGTATTTAACTAGTCTAGGGTACCAAGATTTCTATTATGTGAGGTATTCAAAACTAGAGGCAATGAATGAATTATA